AGAGTAACGAAGACAAAATATGTCTCTAAGAAAAATAAGGAAAAATTCTTCATTTACTTATAAAAGAGCAACCATCGACTTTTTATTTATATATTTTGAACTATTACAACTTTTGCAATAGGTTTGGAAACTCAACCTTTAAGTTAAGAGTGCATTTACAATATGATTTAGAATTTTTTTTTTTTGATAGTGGTTGCACATGAAAAACAACCATCTTCTATTTCTTATCCTATCCCATCCGTATATTATGCGATTTAAATTCATAATTTTTTACTTCCAATAAAATGAGATAATCACTAAATTATTTAGATAATTAACGATTTAGAGTTATCAGATAAAAAAAAGTTAGATATAAATAACAATTTTTATTACAAATAAATTTAGATAATAAATAAATTCTTATCTTATGACTATATTACATATTAAACAATAAATAATTTATTTTAATTAAATAACTACTATGACTTAAACAACCACTATAAGTAATTTTCCATTTTAATGCCATTGAGATTAACAAAGATCACATGGGTCCAAACCCACCGAATTACGTTTACACCAAGCATTCTAAGCTGGCAAACACCTAGAGCGAGTTCATCGATTTCTCCATACTTTCGCACGTATCCAATTCCGTAAATGGGAATCCGTTTCAAAGCCATTCTCCTCCTTTGTTGTCCTCATGGTAAAAAACGTTCCTTCTTTCTGTATCTCTCCGACTTTGCTCTTTCCTGAAGGAACATCGATCCCTCTTCTCCGATCTCCACTCCTTTTCCTCTCTCAATCTGTACATATTTGTATCTAAACCATCATCATCATCTTATATATGTGCAGGTGTTTGTTTTTGCTTCTCCTTTGAAGGGTAGTCAAAGGCTTATTGACGTTCACCCCGAAATCTTTGTTTTTTTAAGGTATGCATTTCTGGGTTTGCTTTCGTTTTGAGTTTTGTCTAATGGGTATCATTCCCTTTTTCATATGGTCGTAGTATAGAACTTGGGTTTCGATTTTCTTTTTTATTGTTTTTGTGCTGTTTGTGTTTCTATATTTAGTGCTTCTGTTGGATTGGTTCTTGTTGGGATTCATTCAGGTTAATGCGTTATTGTCTCATTCATTGAATGTAATTTTCAGCGGAAATTGAGTCATGTTGGTTTGTTGTTCATTTTGTTTAGTTTCTGGGTCTTGTTTCAGTTTCTCTTTTGGGCAATTGTGATTAGAGTATTTGATTCTGTGATTTTGTTCATTTTGTTTGCTGTTCATTTTGATGATCTTGTGTTAGTCACTAGTAATGTGTTATATCTATGGGATCTGAATTTGACGACTCTGTTTTGGTTTTGATTCTCAGATTTTGGGCTTAAGAAACTTAGTTGCAAGGGCTGTTCAAGAGGAGATTTAAGTTGAATTTGAGCTCCTTGATTCTCTGTTGGGAAATCTGCAGGGATGTCGGGTTACAAGGGAGTTCTTGTTTCCGATCAATGGCTTCACAGCCAGTTCACACAGGTTGAGCTCCGCAGTCTTAAGTCCAAGGTAAGCAGGCTCTGTTTATGGTTTTAATTATAGCATCTTTTGTTTAGTCCTGTTATCTAATTAGTTAATTAATTGCAGAGCAGTGAACTGTAGTTTTTTGGGCTGTAATTTGATGGAGTTTTAATCATCTATTTTCTGTTGTGAACTCTAGTTTGGTTCAATAAAGAATCAAAATGGTGAAGTTACGTTTGGAGATTTGCCACCTTTGATGGTGAAGTTGAAGGCTTTTTGTACAACATTCACAGAAGAGGAGATTAGGAGCGTATTGGGTGAGTCATATGGGGACATGAGCAATGAAATTGATTTTGAAACCTTCCTCAGGGTGAGTCATTGTTTAAGGCTTCTTCATGCTCTCAGTTCTGTTCTCTTTCTCTCTCTCTCTCTCTCTCTCTCTCTCTCTTTCTGTATCCAATTGATGAAGTAATAAGTTATCTATTTCTACAAAAAAGAAAAAAAAAAATTAATGAAGAATTTGGATTCGATTCTGCTTATATGGAAGCTTAAATTCCATAGAATTTCATTAGATTTGATTGGAGGAAACTAACATGTTTATTTGTTGCACCGAGTGGACAGGCATATTTGAACTTGCAGAGTCATGTTACAGCAAGGTCAGATGGTCCAAAGGATTCATCTTTCCTGAAGGCCGCAACCACTACCCTCCTTCACACAATCAGTGAATCAGAAAAAGCATCTTATGTCAGGCACATAAACATCTACCTTGGGGATGACCCATTCTTAAAACAGTTTCTTCCTTTGGATCCAGCTACAAATGATCTATTCGATCTTGCAAAAGATGGTGTATTATTATGGTACTGAATTGTAATTTACTTTGGTTCAGTCTTTTTTCTTAACATTAAAAGCTGGTAAAGATGGTAGTTTTGATTTTATTATACTCTATTTTGTTGGTGCAGTAAGCTTATCAATGTTGCTGTACCTGGAACAATAGATGAACGTGCTATTAATACAAAGAGGGTTCTTAACCCATGGGAGAGGAATGAGAACCATACCCTCTGCCTGAACTCAGCAACGGCCATTGGCTGCACAGTGGTAAACATTGGCTGCCAGGATTTGGTTGAAGGAAGGGTGAGCTTAGCTAACTCAGAATCCTGGAAAAGTTAAGTTGATGTTATAGAAGTCTGAAGATACCTTTTTCTTGTTCTTTTATTGCAGCCCCATCTGGTACTTGGTTTGATTTCCCAGATTATAAAGGTATACATCTCAATTATCTTTCTCATATTATTTATTCATGTAATGACTTCTGAAATAAATTTGAGAGACAAATAAAAATGTATGTCCAGCTTAAGCCAATGAATATCATGGCTTTAGCTTGTTTGCCTACTTGTTTTATTGCTCTTACTCCCTTAGCCATGGTAATTGCAGATCCAACTGTTAGCAGATCTCAATCTTAAGAAGACACCTCAGCTTGTGGAATTGGTGGAAGACAACAATGTATGACAGTCTTTTTATATAAATTATATCATGTTGCTGATGTTCTGTTTGTACTAATTCTATGAAATGTCCATGTTAGAAATTACAAAATCTGAATGATTCTTCACCATTAATTGTTGTATCCTGCAGGATGTTGAAGACCTCATGGGATTGGCACCTGAGAAGGTCTTACTAAAATGGATGAATTTTCATCTGAAAAAGGGAGGCTATGACAAAACTGTTACAAATTTTTCTTCAGATTTGAAGGTATATGGTTACTTTAATATCACATAGAGTCGCAACCGGCAAGGATATTATAAATTAATAATGTCTATTGTGTTAGATTTTTATACAGTGGTTGTATTGATGATTTCTGCTTTATTATTTTATTTTTATTTTTTTTATTTTTTATTTTGGGCTTCTGTTGATGTCTTTTGCTAATTCACATGCAGGATGCAAAGGCGTTTGCTTTCCTGCTTAATGTGCTTGCCCCAGAACATTGCAATCCATCTACATTAGATACCAAGGATCCTACTGAAAAGGCCAATATGGTACTTGACCATGCAGAGAAAATGGGCTGCAAACGGTATTTGTCCCCAAAAGACATTGTTGAGGGTTCATCGAACCTAAATCTTGCCTTTGTGGCACAGATATTTCATCAAAGGTTAGAAATGAACAAATCTTGATTTGAAGGACTCATGGAAGTTTTCTATGTTTCTTAGTTATCCACCTGTTTCTTGGAATTGGATATGTAAACATTGGGGATGTGTGTTTTTAAGGTGGTCAACTGACTTGGTTTCTCACTGCCCTTGAATCAGTGATCATTTTGGTACCTTAGGTTGTTTAACAACATTAACTCTGCCTTTGACTTCTCGATATGATGGGTGTTGTTTAATTCTGTAGTTAAGAGGAAAGTTCATGTATGCTCTTGTAGGAGTGGCCTGAGTACAGACAGCAGAAAGATTTCTTTTGCTGAGAGGATGACAGATGATGCACAAACTTGTCGAGATGAGAGATGCTTTCGGCTCTGGATCAACAGTCTGGGGATTTCTAGTTATGTTAATAACGTCTTTGAGGATGTCAGAAATGGGTCAGTGGTTCTCAACCTCACCTTTGTGAGAAGAAATTTCTTCTGCGTTTCATCTATTTCCTTATTCCACATGTTGTCCATCGTGTGGGATTATGAGCTTATTTGAATTAAAGCAATATAGTTTCCTAATTGCAGTGTTTCAACTTTTAAAATGACATGCTTGATTATACGTGCATGCAGATGGATACTTCTTGAAGTGCTTGACAAAGTTTCCCCTGGATTGGTTAACTGGAAGCAGGCATCAAAACCTCCAATCAAAATGCCATTCAGAAAAGTAGAAAACTGCAATCAAGTTATTAGAATTGGGAAGCAGCTTAAGTTTTCCTTGGTTAATGTTTGTGGAAATGATATAGTACAAGGAAATAAGAAGCTCATAGTTGGTAATCTTCTTCTCTATTGGTTTATTTCTAGATTTTTGGACCATTTATTATATCTGCAGGTTTTCCCAGACTTTTCTGATTCCTCATGTACCTTGACATGATGAGGTTTCAGTGAAATCCCAAGTGATAATCTGTTAATTTAAATTTTTTTGGAAAGATAGATATTTTCCAGATGCTTAAAATTGATCATATATCTTTTCCAGCTTTCCTGGGGCAGTTGATGAGGTATCATATGCTTCAACTTCTAAAGAGTTTGAGATCCCATTCCCGCAACCAAGGAAGGGATGTAACTGATGCGCATATCCTAAATTGGGCAAACATGAAAGTAAAATGTTCTGGAAGAACTTCTCAAATGGAAAGCTTTAAGGTTTGAAACTTTAGCTTCTTTATCATGAATATCAGCTAGGACATAATTAAACGCTGTAATTTACATAGTTTGTATAATCTGGAAATTTTCAGGATAAAAGCTTGTCCAATGGATTGTTTTTCCTTGCGCTTCTTAGCGCTGTGGAGCCAAGAGTAGTTAACTGGAACCTAGTAACCAAGGGTGAAAGTGGTATGATTTGGCTACATATGAAACTACATTGTTTATGCATTAGAATTTACTAGGAGGTGAGCTTACTTCTTCCTCCCCTTTTTCCATTGATTTTATAGATGACGAGAAGAGGTTGAATGCGACATATATCATTAGTGTCGCTAGGAAGCTTGGTTGTTCAATTTTCTTGTTACCTGAGGACATCATGGAGGTATATATGCGTTTATTCCTTTGCATCAGTTGTAGATATTACAAGTTTTGTATTTGGTAAATATGTAGAAATGAGTGCTCTTTTTCTTGCATGTCAGGTGAACCCCAAGATGATCCTCTCACTGACCGCCAGCATAATGTATTGGAGCATTCAGCAAGCAATAGAAGATGGTGAGTCATCTCCATTCCCTCTTAACACACCAGATGCATCCCCAGCACCTTCCATAAGCGGTGAAGATGACACCTCCTCTCTGGGTGGCGAAATCTCACACCTAACCATTGATGATGCTGCCTCTGACACTACAGTCTCCTCACAATTTGAGGACTAACTCAGTTGTGGAATGAGGACATGCATGTTATCATATCAGTTAAAGTGTGAAGTCCTTTAGTCCTCTCCCCATGGGGAGGGAAAAAAGGATGTACATTTTACTCAAAACTCACATATCACAAGTTGGCACGGGAAAAAGAAGAACAAGATGAAGGATATGAAAAACAGAAAGGAGAAATTTTTTGATCTGTTACGTTATGCACATATTTTATTTCTTTATTAAATTATTCTTTCAACGA